CTTCCTAGTTTTTTACAATATCTTCCTAGTTTTCTCCTAGTTTTTTGTGCTGTTGCTTCCTAGTTTTTTATAATGTACTGCTGGAGAGCCTGTACATCTTCTACTTGCTAGTGTATTGGCCAAGTTCAGTTTGGCAAATTGCCATGATCTCCTTTTTGCTACATATTGTTCTAGTCTGTTGTCTGTCTCAAAGGGATTCTGTTCCATTACCTTTTTGAAATCAACTTCTATGCCTGCTTGAATGTCCATCGTTTGCATTGATGTTTATTGTCTATAGCTTCACAGCTTACTGTTATGCACTCTTTTGTTAAAGAAGCCAGCTTCTCTTCTCATTTCATTCAAATATTATCAAACTCTTGCAGATGCTCATCCCTGACCATTTTCTTATCTTATTCATCTATCTTTAGAAATTGGTGTCAACAAACTTCTTTTACTTATGAACTTATTTCTTGATCATAGCATAACTGTTCTTCATAGTGTATGCTACAGAGCTGTCTTTTGTGCTATCTTTATATGCCAATGTAGTCATCTTCCTCTGCCATCTTCATTCTTTCAGAATTTTTTCAAGTTTTCACTCACATTGACCATGGGTACCTAAACACTGTCCTCAGTACGATTTCAGTTTGATTGTAAGATATCTTGGTTTTTCTTCCTTTGAACGTTTAGTAAATAGTTTGCTCTACCATATTTCCTTGAAGATGTATTTTCTTTTGTTGCTTTCTTCAGGTAGTAGACAGTCAGACATTTTTATCATTCATGTTACTTGTAATCTTTTATATTTATACATTCATGTTTATATATATATATATAAAGGCTCTGTATTTATATCAGGGCTGAGCCTTTCTACCAAAGAAATAAGCTGCAAGAGAGGGTACCCTCTGTTGTATTTTTTTTCAGGTTTGTAACTATCCTGATTAAACAAGAATATAGTTCAGATGAATATTTTCTGTATGCTGTCTGGGCTTCATTCACATTAATAAATTGGCTTGTGCAGCTGATCCATTTTGTCTGTCAAGATGTACCTGAACACCTTCAGTGGGAATGTATTGTTAATACCCATGAGATTTGCCATTTGACAATGCCTTTGGCTTCCCAGAGTTGGAACCCTTTAGGAGACATTTTAAAAACTGGAATGTGGATAAATTCAAATACTTTCATCAAATTGCTCTCTCTTCAGTTTTGGGGTTCTGTTTTCCTACTGAAGTTATTCTACAAGCCATATGGAATCCCTAATGGAATTGTTATTTTATATTCTGGCCAACACCCACTGTTAACCATTTCCAGGGTTCCTGGAATTTTGAAATATTTGGAAAAAATTAGATAAATACAGAAAAATAGTCTCATCTTTTTATATTCAGAACTTTTTCCATTTAACCTCTGTGTTTCTCTGAGACATAATTACAATTTCTGTGTTGGTTTTTCATGAGAGTGTGTTATACTGGATGTGGGCAAAATATGGCATCTAGTGACTAATGATGTCTCAGCAAGTATCTTTCCCACCTCAACTTTCACATCTTTGTGTGACATTAGGGATAATTGACACAGGACACCTCTCCTCAGTAGATGTCTCAACTCCATCTAGGATGAGAATCATCCAGGTTTTTATTTTTATGTCCCCTTTCCACTATCTTTAAGTTATTGAGCCCCATCCTTAAAACAGCTTGAATCTTTATCCAGTTCTTCTTGAGTGTTCACTAGTTTGGTTAATTTTGTGATTCACTAGCCCTTTATGGCTATGGAGAAAGAGGGGCTATAGCCCTTAGAGTGTGTCCACCCATATTTCACTAAGATTCTCCTCCAAGAGCCTTTCAGTATAGGAGCAAGTATTGTAGTATTCCTCCTATCTATTTATGTAACCACATATGTTCACACTGTTGGCTCCATGGGTACAATAAAGCATTACTGTCCTCACTGAAGCATTTGAGGCATTTTATTGAAATTATGAACATTACAAATGCTTCTAGGAAAGAAAATGGAATTTCTTATGCATACATACATGTAAGTTGCAGCAAGGATATGCACATTAACGAGTGTATAATAGGAGCATTATAAAGATGTTGTCCCAAATGAGGAATTATCAAGTGACAAGCTGAATGAAACACACCAACAATTTGTGACATTGATTGTTTTTATAAACAACTCCTATCCTAGCAGAGAGAAAAGCTACAGAAAGTTTACATTAACTGTGGCAATGGAATGGTCAACAAAAAGGAGAGATATATGCAAATGAGCAGCTGATTAACAGCTTTTGACAGTAGCCACTTAGTGTCTAGTTTTTGTGTTGGTTCAAGGAGTCAGCAGTGAATCAGCATAATTGAACCAATTAGCTGAAGGACCTACTTGTCGACTGGACCTGGAGAGCTTTTTGAGGTATCATAAAAATACCTGGAAAAACATATAAAACCCCATGTTTTTGGGTTGAAACCAGCTCTCCCCGATATTTCTTGAGGCAGACAACCTGCACCAGTTCCCTCAGAAGTCAAGAGCCAAACTACTGTAGTGAACAAGATGGCAGTTGTACCACCACTCTACTGTTTTCAGCAGGCAAGTTCTCCATAAGGTTTGATTGACATCTTCTCTAGTCTAAAAAGGTCTAGTGTATGATGTGTAAATAATATAAGTTCTCTCACTAAAACTGGATTATGTTGGTATATATTACATGTAATTGTTTAGTGGATAATTTGTTCAACATAATGTCAAAATTAATGAATCTGATAGAAGGTTTACTTATTGAACAATTACATGATCAAAGCAAAGACTTTGATGTGTTTGATGAAGAACTTTTTCCAGATGATTTTGGTACTTATGATGTTAATGAATATGTAAATATATTAGATATGGATGTAGAACATATTATTGTATGTTGTGTGTATCATTAGGATCTGAGTCAGTTCTTTGTTTCACATGTAAATTCCTTGAGTTGATAGATTTTGTGCTCACTCAGCTCCACACATGACTGTCTTCCTGGAATTTAAATAAATTCATTTATGACTCTTGAAAAGTCAAACCCAAATGACTGGCCTACACTGGCTCACCTGTTACACTGTCCTCCAATTCTTTTTTTGTTGTTGGTGTAAGAATTAAAGGGTGAAGAAGTACCCTGCTGAGAAGAATTCTTATTTCTGAGTGTCCTTTAGTCCATTCTTTCTATAAGTCTGATCTACCCCATGTTTTTATTCAAATGTACAAATGTTTGAACATTTGAAGATAAAAACGTTTGGGGACATATAGTAGGGCATACTGAGAGTAATTGCCAAGCAGGAGTTTCTAGGCATTTATTAGTGGGTATTGTGTGTGTGTGTGTTTAATTATAGGAAAGCCACATTGCACTATCTGCTGTGTCCGCTGAGGGGAATTGAAACTTTAGTGGGTATTGAAAGAAACTGTCAAGTAGGTGATTGTGGGTATATAGTAATTCACATTAAGAGTAGTTGCCAAGTAGGTATGTAGTAGTTCACATTAATAGTAGTTGGCAAATGGGTATTTATAGGTGTATAGTAGTTCACATTGAAAGTAGCTCCTGTGTGCGTGTTTGTGGGTATATAGTAGAGCACATTAATAGTTGTTGTCAAGTTTGTGTTTGTGAGTATATAGTAGATCACATTAATAGTTGTTGTCAAGTTTGTGTTTGTATAGTAGATCACATTGAGAGTAGTTGCCAAGTGAGTATTTGTGGATATATAGTACTTCCCATTGAGAGTATTTGTGAAGTGGATGTTTGTGGGTGTATAGTAAGTCATTTTGAGAGTGGTTGCCAAGTACATGTTTGTGGGTATGTGTTAGTAGGTACAGAGAGTATTTGTGAAGTGGATGTTTGTGGGTGTATAGTAAGTCATTTTGAGAGTGGTTGCCAAGTACATGTTTGTGGGTATGTGTTAGTAGGTACAGAGAGTAGTTACGGGGCATGTATTAAAATGAATTCATTAGTATGGATTGTTAGATGCAAAATATTGATGATTTCAGTTATTTTTGCTGTAGTTAATACTTCATTTATTTCAATACTGAAAGTGAAAAGCCACACACAAATTGAAAGAGTTCTTTTTTTTCACTTTTGGAGAGAAACTTAACAATATATGAAAAAATGTACACCTCAAGTATTTTGTTATTATTTCCTAAATACAAAAATTATGCTAAGTTTATTGTTCATTATTGTGAATACAAGTTAACTTAGCCATTTCTATTTACTGTCTTCATTCATTTTATAAAAGAAACCAAAATTCCTTTTTTTTTAAATTTTAGGTTTCTGTTTGACATTGTTTTTTAGATTGTAATATGTAACATTCATGATTTTTAAATGATTTGCTGTTGTTTATTTTAGGTTTGATTTGGCATAGTATTTGTTTGTTTCTGTAGGCAAGAGCTCCCAATGCTCCTGTAATTATTGTGGGAACACATTATGACCTTGCAAGAGAGAAATTTTCCTACTCTTACTGCGATGAACTTCAGCATATGATCCGAGAGCATTACATAAATGTGGTTGATGCAGACAAATGTGGATTGCCCCGGGTTTTAGATACAATTGAAATAAGTTGCAAAAGTCATCATAACATTAAACCTCTGTGTAACCTTATCTATGATATTGTATTTGAGCTGAGATGCCCTGGTGAGTACATTTATTGTTGATGCGATAATACCTCATTAGTTTAAATGTGAGGTAATGTTTTTTTTGTTTTTTTTTCTGAAACCAAAATTGTTAAAATCAAACTCACTTTACATTCATAGCCTGTGCTCTGAGGCACCTAATGATCACATGAGCAACAGTGGACTATTGTAAGGTCATTCACCTTGCTTACCACTCTTGGACCTGCATGTGTTACTGTTCAGTTCATTTATTGTTTGTGTTTTCATAAAATCATGCTATTTATAATGGATAAGCCTGAAGGAAGGCATGATCATATGTAAAAACACAGAGAAAGAAAGGAACAATTACTGAAAAACGAGGGAGAAACTATGAAATGGAAGTACTTCTTTGGATAATTTTCATGGTCATTTGATAGAAAGTTATTTATTGAACATTTACTTTATGATAATCCATGGAGGGATGACTTTACAGTTCCATCTCCAAGGCTTAGTTTTAAACATACCATTTATAAACAGTCTAGGAAAACAGTACGTTGACTATGTAGAATTATATGCAGACTTTTCTTTATGTTAAAATACTTTATTTGCAAGCTTTCAGCACCCTTACCAGAGTATTCATCGAACAACAGTGTATTGAGCGATAAAAATTCGTTAAACTGTGGAAGACTACTTTAAAATAGCTATCTAGGCAATAGTTGTAACTATAACTGACATCTGGTATTAAAGTTATTAAACGTATAAAATTATATAAGTCGATTGCTTCGACATGATAAACATAAGGAAAATACATTTATGGGTATTATATAGAGAAATACAACATAAAGCAATTTTTCAACTTCCAATAATACATTGTAAAATTAAAGGTTTTATTTTACATTGAAACCATGATAAATAGTATGCTGTATGTCTTTTATTAGTGGTGTTCATGCAGTATTGAGTAGTTGTTGGCTGTTGTTTTGATTAATATCCACTGGTGGTTCACTGTCTTGTGTTAGATGATAATAGGTACCTTGATTTTTTAAATTTGGTGTTTTCTTCTCTGTCTATTATTTTGGCATTTTTTAGTTCTGTTATATGGTTGTTTTCCTGAACATGAAAAGCTATAGCTGATGTGTTTATAGTACAGTTCTTAACCCTATCCTGATGGGCATCCTTTACTGTGCATGTTACAAGGTTTTAGTGACTTACATTCAAATTTTTATTAATCTATTTTTTGTTTAAGTTATACCAATTAGTATAGTATATAATCTTAGCTAATAATTCATATTTTGATAGTATATAAGTTTTAAGTTCTTAATTTTATAAGGCAATATTCTAAAAAATTATGAATTTCCTCCAGTGTGATGCATGTGACACATTTTCTCAAGGCATCTCCTCTTCTCTATATTATCCACCACCCCTCCAATAAGTGTGAAATTCAATGTAAATTTCTCACTATAAAATTGCTTAGACAAACCATAATTTTTATATCCTTCACTTTTGTTTGGCTACAAAGCTATCAAATAAAACATCCAACCCCTCTTGCCACATCCACCTGTCACATCCTGTCTTTCATGATTTTATAATAGTTCTCTTTCACATTTATTTCTGTATTATCTCTAACCAATAGAAAGCTAAGATTTTCATCTATCAAATGACATATTATATTACATTGTTTTCTGAATGCTGAATTATCAGTTTCACTCTTAGTACAAGCTTCGTTCTCACGGGAAAGATGATCAGTTTGGATGAATTTATAACAGCTCTTGTCATATTGCTAGAAAGCCAGACATATTGTGAGAGTTAGGGGAAATTGTCTGCTTTTTGCTTGTTATTAGTCTATGTTCTTTGGTGCATTATTTAATTAAATAAAAATTATTTAATGCATTACTACCATAGTATAAAAAAGTAGGGTTAAGTGTCATCAACAATAGACAGCAAGAAAAAAGAAGATTCGGGTAAGTACTTCATTTCTTGTTTTTCATGTTTATTCATTATTTACTATTATGAAAGTTCTAAAATGTAAAAATAGGGATCTTTTTAAGTTAGTTAAGATTAGATTAGGTAAAATAGATAATAATAATAATAATATAATAAAAATGTTTCATGAGGTATGCATGCGAGCAGCTTACTGGTAAAGTAATTCGATAATGTAATGTGACCTCCACATTCCTCAAAAGATTTAGAACTTAGATAGTAGTTAGATACAATTCAAAGAGCAATAAGACAATACAATTTAATTACAAATAGATGTGTGCTTTTACAAGTTTAAAGTTACTTGCAAATAAAGTATTTTAGTGTGAAGAAAAGTCTGCGTATAATTCTACATATTAATTTATCTATGTTATGAGTCTTAAGCAACAAGTACTTGGACTGTTATGCTAACTAAAAGAAACATAAGATTCTTATTTTAGTATTTATAATCAGAAAAGAAAATTACTTTTTTTATTACTATTGTAGAGTTGCTTAATATTTGAGATCACCCAGTATTCAGCACCTTAGAGTGAAACTGAAAGTAATTTTTATCATATTATAGGTTATTGGCCTTTATGGGTTTTGAATAAGATGAAAATATAATGGCATTTCATCTGCACACCTCATGTGTTGCATACTGCTGCCAACTAGTTTTTTGCTCAACATACCAGAGCTGATCAGGTCAGCTGAGTTACAACTTACAAATAACCTCAGTTGAATTACTGTACACCATTATAGTATTTTGGCACTTGTGTATAAAGTTAAAATCATAAATAATATTCAACATTAAACTAGTACACAATTAAAAACATTTTATTTAGGTCTATCTATGGCCTTCAAAAAGTTGATAACTCTACGTCATCCTCAGGATGATGACAAAACCTTGTCGAAACGTTGTCCATTTGCTGTTATATTAAAGTCTTTCTTCATTACCCATTCAAGCCGTCTCCAGCCATTATTAGTCTCAAAGTGGGTTCCTCGTCATCGAATCCTCAGGAGTTGTAACGTTGAAACATGTAGTCGTCAACTTTTTGAAGGCCATAAATAGGCCTAAATAAAATGTTTTTAATTGTGTACCAGTTTAACGTTGAATATTATTTATGGTTTTTACTGTACACCAGCTACTTATGACACAATATATATCTAAAGGTGTATGATGCATAGGCTGATGAAACATAATCTGTTCAGTTCTAGTTTGTGTGGTATTACATTATAATTAAGCCAATAAAAATGTTGATCATGATTAATGTGTGATAGAATTGCTATACACTCTTCTTAATAAACACCCATATAGAGAAAATCAAGAAAGATATAATAACAATTAGGCTCATTATGTTAGTGAAAATTTTAAGAAGCTCTCTCAGGCTCTTATCAAGTTTCAAGAGACAGTGGAAATTCTTTTTGAATATATATATATACTGAGTAGACTTCAGGAAGCTTTCATGGGATATCATTTATGAAACAATCTATAAAAACTGTAATGTTGAGTTCGTGAATATGCACTTAACAGTGATTTTATTATGTGACTAAAACTTGATCTTTGACAAATGGGTCAAGCATTAGATAAATGAATCAAATTAGGATGTTAGGGTTTGAAACTACAACAAAGAAAAAAATATTTTTACTTTAAGAAATATCCATTAGGAAAGGTCGAATTTGGATATTAATTAAGTTAAGTATGCTTAGGCCAACAAATAATACATGGAATGTGTGCTGGTGTAGTGGAAGGGATTTGAAATTAGTAGAATTTGAATTTTGTCCAATTGTTGCATATGCTCAAAAGAAGTTGATTAGGCATTATGTATGTTTTGTTATAGAAAACAGCATATTAGAATGAAAAGTGGTTTTACAGTAAAGCAGTTGTGATATAATTTATAAACAGTGGCATAAATTCAGTAATATAGTCTATCTAAGGGAAGAAAGCTTTTCTGTGTGTGGAAAAACAGGTGTCAAGGTTGATGGTAAAAATTATATAACAGCTTTTTAAAGTTGTGAGAGCTTAGGTAACAAAGTGCCGATTATTAGAACGTTAAATAGTTTAATGAATCAAATGAAAATATACATTGTGTATTCATAGTAAATACCATTTAAGATGTTGTTGAAAATAGTTTGATTGACAATTATTTTTCATTGTGGAAAAGTCAGATAGTAAAAGCCAGAAAAAAAGTATGAATATATTGATATCAAATTTATCAAATAGTCAGTAGAAATTTTACTGATATGAGTTACATTTTGTTCATTATAGGAAGTAAAGAAAGATTACTAGAGCAAAAAATCCCAGCAACATACTTGGCACTTGAAGATGTGGTGGGTTATTTAGCTTTAGAACGCCGGCTACAGGGGAAGGATCCAGTACTTCGAGCAGAGCAATACAAGTGAATATATTTGGTTTTTAGTTCAGTTTGGTTGGTTGATTGCTTTTCAATTCCAAACATTAGTTTTAGAACTGAAGTGTACCCAGTAGGGCTGGTTGTTTATACACATGTATACCTCTGGTTAATTTCTTGACTTTGAACTAGTTTTGATTATTTATTTATATTTATCATTAAGTCAACTTAGAATTTATTTTGGGTTACAGGATGATATCATATATATACAACTTCTTTAGTTAAATCTTTCGACACAAGGTCAGTCGATTTGACTGAGTCCTTCTGTACTCGTTTAAAGTTGACATCAATTTAATACTTATAACTCTATATATTGGGTATATCTTCACAAAATTTGGCAGTCTTTCAGTTAATATTACAAATCTTTCATGCACAAAAAGTCATATTTCTTAGTAAAGTACTTTTAATAAAATAAAATAAAGTTTTGTCCATGAAATATATTGAGTATTTGTTTTGAATGGTCCATGTGCAAAGTAATTTTCATGTTAAAATTAAAAATACTTTTTGCCATCTCAAACATCTCAAATTTCCTTTGTGTAATCCCTAAAACCTCCTAAATACGTTTCAAACGTTTTTTTTTCACTAAATCCTTGTAGTTTATGTTATTTTCTCTACCCTAATCTCAAAACTGGATCTGTAACCACTAAAAAAAATCGAAATAAACCTAAATTAACCTTCTTTTCTTTCTAGTATGACTTCAAATTGTAACCTGAAACTACATTCGTTTATCCTAAGTAGTTCTAAGTTTGTAACATTATACATATATTTATAATTAACTTTTATTGTTTTATTGCCCTGTGAACTATGTCTAACTGTTATCCGCGCCATTATAAGTTTTAATCACTCGGGGAACGTGCAGCTCATGTTAAACTATCGAATTATATTACCCATGAGCTGCTCGTGTGAGTGCTTCGTGAACAATTTTAATTATATTATTATTATTACTTATTTTACCTATTCTTGTCTTAAATAACTTAAAAAGATTCATACTTTTAATTTTAGTTACTTTTATAATAATAAATAAAGAATAAATATGAAAAACACGAAATAAAGTACTTACCCAATCTTCTTTTTTCTTGCCCTCGATTGTCGAGTAGAGTTAAGCCTGATTTTTTTTAGCGATTATGGTAAAGCACTTAACAATTTTTATTTACTTAAATAATACACCAAAGAATATAGACTAATAACATGCAAAAAGTAGACAAATTCTTTTACTTCTAAAAATTTCCTGGCTTTCTAACTATTAGACAAGAGCCGTTACAAATTCATCCAAGCTAGTCGTTAATTTTCCCACAGGAACGAAATTGCTATTCTGAGTGACATTGATGGTTATCTGTTCAGAACACAATGTTATACAAAATACCATTTGATAGATGAAAACCTTGACTTTCTATTAGTTATAAATAATATATAACGAAACATAAGGGAGAATTATCAACCAATTGTGAAAGAGCTGATGTGGCAGGAGGGGTCTGATTTTCTCTTTGATAGCTCTGTAACAAAACAAAATTGAAGGCCATAAAAATTATGGTCTGTTTGAGCAATAATGATTTTATAGAGAGCATTTTACATTTAATTTCATACATTTTCGAGGGGTGATGGATAAAATAGGGATGATGATGACATGCTAAGACAAAAATTCTCATGTGTGTTACACTAGTGGAAATTCAGGATTTTTCTATATATTTCCTTTTAGAATTAAGAACTTAAAACTTGTTTGCTATTAAAATATGGATTATTAGCTAAGATTTTATGCTATTCTAATTGGTATAGCATAAACAAAAATAGTTTAATAAAATTTTGAATGTAAGACACTAAAACCTTGTGTCATGCACAGTAAATGGTACCCATGCAGAAAGAATTAATATGCCTTCAGTGACACAACTGTAAGTCTGTTGACTTAGGCTGAAAATAAGGTTTCCATATCAGTGATGAGCACAAAACAGATAGTCCATTGTGTAGCTTTGTGCTTAACTACAAATAAACAAACAAAAAAGTTAGTTAATAAGTAATTTTTTTTTTCCTTTCAAAACAGTTTGGATGCAGAGAGTTATTTATTAAACAACATAACTTCTTAATTTGACTGGAAAAATACCAGATTCAATAAATATTCATTAAATGCATTCTCCTGCACAAAAAAAAAAGATAGCTGAGATTTCACCCATGATGTCCCAAAATAGTCAGCTGTCTTTTCTGTTGGTGAATCATGTAAGGGTCTAGGGCTTCCTTTGAGTGACAGTGGTTCAAAGTGACATGGGTGAGGTGCGTGTTATGAGAATCCTGGATTTTGTATGTTATAGTATTTCGGTATTTAAAGCCTGGCTTTCTTATGTTAGGCAGATTTTGTATCATTCTTAGTTATCCAGATTTTAGGTTTCTTGAGATTCTGTGCAGATTTAGATTTTGTGACTTCTAGATTTCCAGAAATTTTAACTTAGAGATTTACTTTAGTAAATTTGAGGCTTAGATTTCCATTACATTATTTAATTTTATGCTAAATTTTAAAGGTTTACCTTGTTTTAACATTGGGGTTTATTTTCATTTAAGATTTTTTATTTTCATGTTGCTTGCTGAAGGCTCACACTGAACTGATGAGAAAGAGCCATTAAAGGTTTCTTTTTCATTTCTCTCTTTTTTAACAGTTCCAAACACCCACCATAAACAATTATCCTTGTTTTTATTCAACACTGTGTTGTATTTGTCTCTGACTGTGTTGTAATAAAGATTGTTGTTGTGTATATTTTGTGTATTGGCTCCTTGTGTTTGACTAATTCAGTTAGAGTTTATAAAGACACAGACCTATGCTCTGTATCGTGATATTTGTTGGACCTACTATTTAGTGACCCTAGTCTTCACTTTTAGGGAAATATGTGTAATGCAAAATATCATAGAGTAGGTATGGAGGAGAAATTTTTTTGTCATGACCCTTTCTGAGTTGATGTTTAGCCAGATTCTCTCTCATACTCTATGGAGTACACTGAGCCTCTCAAACAGTAGAAATGGCATTTTCCACACATTGCAGAGTATATTAGGTGGAAGAGGAATTAAGAGCCAAGGAAGGGTTGTCAGATACTGGGAAATTCTCTCTGGTTAACTGACTTCTGCCAATGCAGCAGAAGTACCTGATAGCCATCATCCTGCAGTCATGAACCCAGGAATGGGAACAAATGTGAAATGGAGCACACAGAGGAGTTGACATAGCTCTTCGCTGAGATTGAGCATTGGTATAAATGGAGCTCAAACAACAGAGGACCATCACAGGGTGCATGGCAGAAGGAGCCCGAAATTGAGTGGGACTCTCTCTAGGACCCATAGATATTCATCTGTATCATCCTCAATAGTGAGGAATCTTGAAAGATGCAAGTTAATGTTAGTGATTAAACTGCATCAGTATGTAAAGGACTGGGACATAGTCATGGCCACACTATTCTGATAGTTCAGTGCAATACTGATGGTGGACATAGATACCAACAGGAGCTGTATCATTAGAGGTTGAGACAGTGGACACTCACCAATGATAGCGGTGATTGTTGGAGATGAAAGAAGCCTTTCCATGTGAGCCAGGAGAGGCCCTGATTATGAGCTTGGACAGTCAAGCCCTTGATAGTGTGGACACCTGTTAGAAACACAGTTACTTGAATAAAACACAGTGGTGGTTAAACTGTATCAGCGATTTGACCTGGTGAAAAACTGAACTGTCTGCCAGGATAAGTTCAAAGCTTAAAGGAATGATCTCTTAGTGATCACATAGTGAAGAGAGACAGGGTCTCAACTGACCCTGCAAAGACCCTAGCAGTTTGAGCTTGGCCCAATCTGTGGTTAGATGAACAGTTAATAGTTTCTTTGGATTTTCATCATTTAAGTTTTGTGGCCAGTTTCTCCAAGATGGCCATATCAGTGTCTGCTCCCATTAAAGCCAATGCATGTTTCAATTAGGCTGAGAGGTCCTTGAAGCATGTTTTACTGAGTTCCTGTTGGATACAGATGTCAGTAATAGTTGAATTGAGGCAGTGTTGTCACAGTCACATGATGGGTGATTACATTGTGAGCCATATGCTTACAGCTCCTAAATGTTAAAACTGTAACAATGAAAGAACTGCTTGCAGTTTTGATCTTCATAATTTTTTTGCAGAAAGTTTACCCACAGGCTGGATTATGTGTCTCATGAACTTTTGAAATCCAGAAACACAATGTTGCAAGAGCATGATATCATGATATGGCATTTTCTGGGAGTGCAATTTGAAAAGTAGAAGAATTATCTCACCACACACTGATGAGATTATTCATTCATTACATATTCTGATCCTGGACATCATGTGGAAGTAAAAGTAATTTCAGTTTATCAGCCCTAGTCAGATGGTTTGGCAAAGCAGGTAGTACACACTGTCAAGTATATGATTGCAAAGTTTGTTAATCCTGGTTGAAGTGACTAGGATGAATATGTATCATGTGTCATTATAGCGCATCATGCAAGAGAAAAGATGTTGTTTGGGTGGGAAATGAAGCTCCTTGCAGTGGTGGAATGGCTAATAATTGATCTGGCAGATGTACACAACTTTGCATGCAAGGAAATAGAAAAGGCTGCAATGCGGCAGAAGAGATTCTAAAACAAAACAATGAAGTAAAGGACTTTCCGTCATGAACAAAGTAGCTTGAGTTGGTTACTCTGGTATGTATATTAGCTGTTACACACATATACATGGATTTTCAGATAAGGTCATTTATGAGTATTGTATAACACAAAGTGAATCCATTAAGTCTATAAAAATGGCGTGTAATAAAGTGCAGCACATTACATAACTCTCATTATATTTCTTCCCAAAAATAAAATTAGTGAGTAAAATTGTTTGGAACTTGACAAGAACTTTCATAAAAGTATGTATTTTGAGAAAAAAATAAAATATTTACTTTTGGTTTTTTTATACTATTTCTAATAGAAATTCATTACTTAATGTAGTTATTTGCATTCACTCTGAATAGTTAATCTT